ATTTTAAAATCTTAACATTTTTAAGCCAATCTTTTGACATGGGAGGGAGGGAATGAGCCATGAATTTTTGAACGCTCAGAATTGGCAATACTCTTAATCTTCTCTTGCCTCACATAGACACAGATATTTTTAAAAATTCAAATCTAAATAAATCTTAGCAAATAAAAAATTAATGGTCAATTAGTTAAATGTATAATAGAAATGTCAAGGATGGAGAGCAGGATATATAATGTGAGCCCCCATGTGGGCCGTTTTAGATATCTGTCAGTAACTATTTTCTCTGAATTTGAAAAGTTCTCTCACAATATGGACAATTCCTGTTTTCAAACAACTCTTCCTACATCCCCTTTTGCAGTGGTCTGTTTAGCGGGTGAGGTGCATCTGCCAGTTGAAGACGGTGTTTACCGCATCTTGTATCTTTCATTGTCATTGGTCAGTGAGCAGACAGTGCAGGACAACTGTGGCACTATTCTGCCCATCCTCAGGGAACAGAGACAGAGGATCCTTAGATTTCTTTAGATGCCCTCCATTTCTCCTAACATTCACTTACAGGGTTTGACTTAGGAATGGCTGTCCCTGCATCAGAAATATGGTGGTGGGAGTTAATGATCCTTTCCTACTTTCCTTATCAACATGCAATGCCTTGATCGATTGCCAGCCACCATCTATAATCAACATTCTCCTCCATTTGCAACAATGGAAACTGCTGGGCATTATTGTTTCTGGCTTCTTGAAATTATATGCCACTATTTAAAGATTAATAGCCTTTGGCTCAAGAAATTTGTCAGACATTTGCATCGAGGCCTGTCAATATTCTGCCCATCAGACTCTGGACTGGTAAGCATGAGACAGAAAACATTGTGAGCCGTGTTGTGATGAACACCTGATGAAATTGGGTAATTCTAACTTCCATAATAACCGCTGCAAGAAAAATGCAGTCAAACATACAGCGTGTTTCCATACCATAGCAGTAGACAGGTCAGTCTTGCTGCCAAGGCAATAAACCTTGCCAACCTACACACTCCTGCTCTGCACACTTCAACACTGAGAATGAAGTGGTAAGTAAGCTCATGCAACTTTTAATTATGTTAACAGAAGCACTGTATGTGTGATTTGGGATGTGATGATACCCTCTGCTCAGTGCTGGTTAGGCCTCAACTGGAGTACTGTTATGATTTGGGCACTATATTTTAGATATACAAAAACTAGAGAGGACCCAGAGATGAGCAAGCAATAAATATGATGAAGTTGAAATGCAAGCCATATGAAGAAAAGTGAAAAGAACTAGGTATGTTTAATGTGGAAGAAGGAGATTAAGGAGATGATAGCACAGTAGGTGACGTACTAGGTTGAGGCAACATGGGCAGCCGCCCCAAGATGTAGGGGGTGCAGCAGCAACCAGAAGTCACCACTGTTCCTGTGCATGGCAGCTGGCCCAGTGTCCTCAGCCACATCATTACGTCTCTGATAGAAGTTTTCAAAACTGTCATAAAAAGATGGTGAAACGTTATTCTCCCTTACCACTGAGGACAGGGCACAAGGCAATACATTTCAAATACAACAAAGCAGATTCAGATCAAATCCCAGGAAAAACTTCTTAACTGAAGGAACAAACTGACAAAGGGACAAACAGATCAGGAAAATTATGGAAGCTTCTTCACTGGAAGGTTTTAAGAAGAGACTACATAAGCACTTTTCTGTAATGGTCTAGGACTAGAAGGTTGGATAGAATGACCCTTGAGGTCCCTTCCAGCTTGGAGTCTATGAGTTCCTTACAAGTGTATTTTGCATGCATTTTCCAAACAAACGATTCACTTATGTGATCATATGCATTTGCAAACTGCTGCCCAACGCACACTTGGAACTTTCCATTCCATTTCAGATGTTGCTGAACGGTACCAGTAGTTAGAGATACATTACTCCTTTTACCAGTTATTCATTTTGGTTGAAATTGGGTTTTTTCCATTAGAAAATTCCAGTTCAGCCAAACCCAAGTGTTTTATGGGAAACTTGGGTAAGACTTATCTAGGAAGCTTTCTAAGCTTCAGGTTCTGTTGGGAAGAACCAACAGAGTTACCTTAACTTCTGGCTATTTCACTGAGACAAAGCAACCAATTTGAAGTCCTCCTGCATCCCAGGATGAGCTGCCCCTGTATGGACAAACTTTTATCTAGAACTCAGTGGCCCTGGACTGCCAGCTGGGGACAGCTGAGCAGCAAGTAGGGAGAGAGTGAGTGGGGAGATGGGGGAAAGGTGTGAAGTGGAACAGAGGGAGGATGCAGGGGAAGGGAGGTATAGGGAACAAGTGGAAGCAGGAGGAAGGAAAAGGAGTCTTGGGCCAGTCAGCTGCCAGGCAGCCACTGAAAGGAGGTGGATGGGTCTGGCAGCCCCCCCACCACATGCCTGGATCAGGCCTCCACCATCCCCACCAGACCTGCAGCTTCCTGGCAACTCCTCACCTTTCCCTCCCCTGCAAGAAGCTGCTAGTCAGTTGCTGTGGGGCTGACAGGGGAGCAAGCAGCTGTGCGGGTGACATGGGCTAGATTTGTTGCCTAGTGGGAATGGCACAGGCTGCAGAGAACCCAGGAGCAGTCAGGGAGAGGGAACACCACTGCTGTTGCTCTGAGCTCATTCTCCATGTGTTCCTCCCAGCCTGGGAACAGGCAGGGAGACAGAACCCACCCAGCTGCTGCCATTGTTCTATGGATCACCAATGCACCCTGCTTCCCTGCAGATAAGTGGGGAATCAGGAGCCAGGGAAAGCAGGTCAGCAGGGGAGTAAAGTCAGCAGGAGTCTGATCCAACCCAGCAGGAATGGCAATCCTGGAGCCTATACTACCACTAGAGAGCTGGCAAACTGGGCAGGCACAGAGCAGACTTGGTAGTTCCTAGCCATGCCCCTGCTTGCCAGCCCTCTAGCAGCAGTTCAGAGCTGTGCATGTTAGAGACGGTATTAACCTTCAGCATCTGACTGTTTGCAGCACATACTAAATTTAACACCATCTAACATTAGAGTTAGCACATGCTAATTGTAACATGTAACTACATTTTCAAAGAAAAAAAAAAGTTTCCCTGCCTACAGCATATCACTTAATCGTCAGTTTCAGTCATTCTTAATATAAATCCTCATCATTCAGGCACGGAAAACACACTAGTCGAAAGCTACATTCCCCTCTGCTTTCCTTAGCAATAATTGACATGAAAATCAACAAGCTCTGCTCACACTTTAAAGCTAAGGCTTAAAGGATGCCTTTTACTCCGATTTAATTATACATTATTAAATTCGTCAGTCTGCACCCCCTTTTGTTAATTAAGGAATGCAAATAGCATCACTATCTTCAATGGATATTTCTACAAAAGCAGCTTGTATTGCAATCAACATAAGAAAGATCTGGAATGCAGCTCATATACCACATATATGGCTGTGTCCCCATTTCTTCTTCTCACAGGGAACTGCACTGCTTTTGTTTATGCTTATTCATTTCTGGCTCAATCTTTTATCTATAAGAGTGACTATGTTGTATCTGTGGTATAAGTCCTTACTTTCTTTATTCAGTTAGAAGATCATCAAGTTTACATGGTAAACGTTGACAGCCTACTAAAACCACGCTGTGGAAACAGGATTGAAACATGCAAAGTCCACTTTAGAGCAAATAGATGGCCATTACTTTGAGTAGCTATCAGCCAGGGCTGAATCCATACTATTTCCAGTTCCCTAAATTATGTATTTTGTCACCGTGTTAGACTTTTAAAAAAGCTTGGTGGAAAAAAAGTGGGAAAAGGCATTTTAAATTATAACAATCTAATAGGAAAAATGGAACATGTGCCAGTAGTTCATAAATTTCCTCTGTTTTTCAAGAAACAATATATAGAAACAGCAAGGGAAATGGTGTTAAAAATGCTAAACACAAAGCCAGAATCTGCATTTGCAAAATACAGATGACATCTGTCAGACTTTCTATACATCAAAGGCTGAACAAAAGGAATCCATGGAAAAACTCCACAGTCCTCAACTAATGAGATATTCATTACAAAACAAATAGTTAGGTAATAGTGCGTGAAACACTAATGAGTACTATATTAGACATGATGCTTTGACAATGTTTGACTGATGATGAGAGCATACAGTAGTTTCATAAGGGATCATTTCAACTGAAACCCTCAGCTACTTGGGGAGCTAGGTAGCACGTCAGATTAGTGAGGGATACAGAGCTTTTTTTAAGGCAGAAATCTTGTTAAAATCTGACCTACTCTGTGCCATGCAAGAATCTCTGTCATGCTGTTCAACAGGTTCTCAGTGGTCTGCAGGAAATGATGTCAGACGGTGCAGAGAGCTATAATACTTAAACTGTTCCAAGAATGGCATTTATTGGGAACCAGTTCTCAGTTGTCCCAGTTAGAGGTATCTATATGCACACTGTAAAATTAAATCAAGGCACTGCAGTGCTGTCAAACTGTCACTAGGGGGTGGTAGTGAATACCTAGCCCAGCATGCTGCCTAGTGGTGAGTGCCTCAGCTTCATCAATATTCCCTGAGCAACGAAGGAAGACCCTGATTGGCTGGATGCCAATAACATCAATTGCTTGCAACTGCAGTTTTCTGATCCCTCTTCTCACTAACATGCCATCCTCTTCTAACTGTATTCAATTCATTTAAAAGTATCTGTTTGTCTACTTTTAAATCAGAAGCTCCAGATTTGGCAGCATCTTACAACAGATTTAATCTTTCATCAAAAAAATTATTTTTTAAACTTTGAAAATATTTCACAGAATATATGAGACACTTCTTTGGTCTTTACTAACTAAAAACATAGTTTTTATCTTGATGCTGGTAAAATTCTACTGTAATGTCCCGCTTTCTGGTTGGAAGTAACCCAATTCAACCTCAAAATTATCCACAATTGGCTTTCTTAGCAAGTACTTTCAAAAGTTTGCTTGTATTTTCTTATATTCATCCAATAATAACAACTAATTTATTTAAAATATATAAGTATCTGTACTTTTTGCTGTTACACATGGAAACAACTCACATTTCTTGGAACCAGCTGCTGCTCCTATTGAATAGAAATTAACTTCATGAGTAACCCAAAATATCCAAGATGTGGACACATGAATATAATGTCTGTGCATCACGCATAGGCTCAAGACCAACTACTATAGCATTGCTGAAACAATCCTTAGAAACAAACATTTGATTCTACCATAGTGTCAGTTATACCTTGACCAGAAGCACCTCCCGTAGTTCAATTCTGGAACACCAAAAACTTTGTCTCCCATACAGTGCCACTAAGAACTGCCCAGAAAAGACAAGAGAAAGTTACTACATCTTTCAAACAAAAAAATATTCAGGAGGAGATTGAAAGGATTATTGTTTGAAACAATGGCCAACGAAGATTATCATTTATTTTATCAGAGGCATTTAAGAGATTCTTAGCGGGGGGGAAAAAGCTGAACAATTCAAATTAAGGTTTTGCACAGCCTCTGATTGAGGGCCATAAACATATTTTAGAAAAATCATTACAGCAATATTTTCTCATAATTCAAAAACATTACTGTGGTAGTAAGGATTTAATTTGGAATTTTTCAATTTTTAGCTGATTTTCCTTAGATTAAGGTATTTTTAGATTTTGTATATACTGTATGTACACTTTTAAAATAAATCGGCCTCTTCCTTTTCCAATTGATTACAATGTTCTCTAGGTCAAAACATCAAAAAGAGTTAACTTTTAGGGCTGCGCAAAGCTTCGGTCCCTGATTTGATTTGGCAGAGATTCGGCCCGATTCGGTGGCCAAATCTCCGAATCCAAATCAAATCAGAGAACTGTTTAATCTCCCCAAATTGAATCAGAACCCTCCGAATCAATTCAGACAGATTTGGACATGGAGACAGCTTTACATGTTTTTTTCCACATACCTCTAGGTAGCAGGCAGCTCGTGAGTGCTGCAATGCTGGGGCGCATGGAGCATCCCACAGAAGCATGGGGGACTTCTGCCAAGCGTGCTCAGCAGCAGACCCAGAAGTGGACCAGAAGCACTTCCAGTCCACTTACGGGTCTGCTGAGGAGTGCTTGGAAGGGCCCCCTGTGCCCCCCTGGCTCAACAACTGGTGCCTCCAGGGTCTGGGGGGCACCCGGGGTCCCCCTGCAACCAATCGCCAAGCTGGGGAGGTTCCGGGTGACCCTGCAGCGCGCTGCACGGCAGACCCAGAAGTGGTCCAGAAGTACTCCTGTGGGATGCTCCATGTGCCCCAGCATCAGAGCTATCACGAGGTGAGCTTGCTTCCCCCAAGGTATGTAGAAAAAAGTGTGTCTATGTCTGAATCGCTGATTCTCTCAAATCAGCATCGAATCTTCAGATTTGGCCGAATTGAATCGGGGCAGTGATCCAAATCTACGAATCAAATCACTGTCCCTGATTTGGGCCAAATCTGAATAGAATAGGGCCCGCTTTGCACACCCCTATTAGCTTTCCCTCTGTTAGTATGGTTGGCTAATATTAAACTAGGGATTAAAGGAATAAAATGCTTGTTGTGGAAGGAATTTACACTAAACTAGCCAACTACTGTCTATTAATTAACCTCAGTGTATCCTGGATAAGAAAGCATAAGATTACCTATCATCTCTCCAAAAATGCTGCACATTTTCAGCCTATCATCTGATTCAAGAATTTAACATGCAGCTCTACTGTAAAGAAGTGCTTTTTAACTCAACAAACCTGTTTTCTGGGCCAGCACCTTAGCTCAGCAACATAACTTAACGTGGGCAAGCATGGCTTAACCCTGGGCATGCACTTAAAGGTGGCACCAAAATGGTGGCTCCCTAGGGAGCCTGTGGTGTCTCAACAGCCCTGCACAGTAGTCATAGCAGCAGCAGCTGAGTGCATGGACTGTAACAGCAGCAGCAACTGAAGACAGGCAGGCTACTCTGTCAGCAACAGACTCTGAGTCCCTGGGGCAGGTAAGACCGACCTCCCCATGATTTCCGGTGCTTGGCACCTTCTCTCTCCCCCCCCCCCC